TTTCAGAAATGATCACTGTCTGAAGTAAAATGATACAAACCATGTTTAATAAAAATTATGACACTAAACAAAAAGTGTTTATCAGAAAATGACAATGCAGTCTTTTTTTCTGTGATCCACAATGAACCATTATGTATGTACTTGTTCAATGAATGTGCTCCACCTGACATGAATGTGCACTGCAGGAGGCTGCAGGGTGTTTATTCTGCACTGTGTGGGGTGATTGTATTTAATCAGATAGAGGACAAAACGTGTTGTCATTAATTTCCTTTTGGCTTCTTCCAATTTGGCCATCTGGCTTACAAGAACACACGGTGTGTGTGGGAGTGGGTCCATTGACCCACTTGACTGTTCATCATTTGGCCCCTTAGGGCCAAATATTTCCTATAAGTGGGTCAAAAGATGGAGTTGTGTATATCAGTATATCTAAATGTTGACTATATATTTTTATGGATATAAAGTATAACACTGAGGTGCGTTTAGCATTGCACGTATTTGCTGTAGAATTTAGATTTGGCTTTGTTTTCTCACTCAAATGAACTTGTGCACTTTAGAATGACTTGGAAAATTAAATCTGATTTTAATGGACCCAAGGATTATTTGTGGTCATGGTCTCAACACAAAAGATCAAGTAAAAGGTACATAATGATCAATCCATTATGATAGTCGTGTGAAAAACATTAAATTTTGATGTTTTTTGTGTAGTTTTTTCATTGATTTTTTTTTCCCACCTTAGACACAGTACCCTGTCATAGCACTTTAATGTTCAGCATGCGCTGTCATCCAGGTACAATACATCATCATTTCTTTTTTAATGAATCCTGCCACGTTTGGGAAAAGAAACTTGCTTGCAAATCAACACTTCTTTAGCTTAGAAGCAGGGGAAACAGCTAGCTTTGTTTTATGCCAACCAACAATACTTGATATACTGTGTGGGAAGTTGTATGCAATATATCTAACTTTTCTTAGGGGCAATGACTGTGTGCAGCATCTCAGTCTTTTCATCTCATTGAAGTTGCCACATTTGGTGCTACTGTGCTTATACCCAGGCTAAAACCAAAACCGTATCTGGCACCCTATGCTATAGCTTGTAATGCTGTATAGAAGTGATGGGTTGTTGGATAAACTGCTGTGCAACACAACTGCCTTCTTAGAATAAATGTGTATGTGTCTAAACTTGCTATAACTCAAACATAAAAGTGTTGCTAATGTATCTCCACCACTCTGTCCAGTCTATACACACAGCTGGGCTCTCCAGCTGTTAATGTGTGAGGCCAATCAACATTTTTACAATATAAACTGTATAAAATCCTCTTTTACCCACCAATTAAAAACAGGCATTTTGTGTTTCTCAGATGATCATAATCAGATTGCATCCTTTTCCTCTTATGTGTTAAAACATAATTTATTGGATATCATACACTTCTCATCAGCACTGGTGGTTTGGGATTTAATTTGATAAAGAAATATTCTGAGCAAAAGAAGATGGTCTTAAACGTATATATTGCTTTTCTACACAGTGAAGTGCACTCAAAGCACTTTACACTATTTCCCATTCATGAAGACAAACACTGACACATTCGCACACACACCGGTGATATCACAGGGAGCTAGGGGTTTAATGTCTTGCTCAAGGACACTTTGACATATGGATTGAACCGCCGACCGTAGGGTTACAGGACGACCTGCGCTACATATTGAGCAACAGCTGCCCCCAGGAAAAGACACCCCCGTGATGCTTGGCAGCACAAAGTCTATTCCAAAATGCTGTTTGATGGTTCAAGAAGAGAGAAATTTATTAAGGCACTTGGCAAGAAAGTCTATGCCTTACTGTGTGCAGTTTGTGGTTTTTAGAGGAACCAGCAGCTCAAACCTTTAGAAAGCCAGAAAGTGTGTATCAGCTCTACAGAGTGGGGGAAGGTCCTGCTAGAGCTGCTCCCAAAGAGCTGGGTTAAAATAAAGATGAATTCTCTTTTTTCTTTCCTGCTCTGCAGGCCATGAAGATCTCTTTCCTTCTTTCAGATTTCCTCATTCCTCATTCTCAATTTACAAGTGGATGTAACTATATTCCTCTCTTATTAAATCTGCATATTTAATTTGGAGCTCAGTTCATATTTCAAGAGGTGAAGGAATTGCTTTCATTGGACTTTATTTATTAATGATGAGGGGGTAGATCTGAATCTCACAGCTGTAAGATCACAAAGATATGTTTTGACCCTTATTTTGCAAAACTAATTTACAGTACCAAAATGAAATGCTGACTGGCTATATGATCCTATCTGTACACATGTATCTCAAGGAGGATGTTCCAAAATCCTAGAGACACCTGGCTAGTGTTGGACTATGACTCCCACTTTCTCACAGACAGACACCAGGATATGTGCCAAAACTGGTGGGCCAGGTTCAAAAGCAGATTGTTCCAGTTAGATGGTGAGGGCCTTAGGACGTGTTCACACCTGTCTCGATTCATCCAGACTTCCAAGAATATGCTCCTCATGTTTTTGCCATTTGGGCAGACGAGGACACCATCATTTGGTGAAGACTAAACTTCATGTCTCATTTGCTAATCTTTATTCACTAAAATAAACAAAATATCTCTCTTTTGCAGGACTATAGATCACTGTCCAATGACTTTTCTGTCAGTACATGTGTCTTTTTTTTAATAATCTTCACCAGCTGTGTTGCAAATTTTAGCATAAGCAAGTCCATTTCCCCCAAATGTCAAACAATTCATCTTACCCTTTGTGGTAACACTGTATTTAAACAGCACACTCTTGCATGATATTATTTATTTGAACACCAAAATGGGAACATTTCAACTCTGTAAAACTATCTGTACAAAAGCAAGATTTCAATAATACATGCTATTGCCAACACAACTCCACAAATGTCAGTATCACTTCAAGCTTTACAGCTCAAAGACCCTTATGCGTACCCTCCTGGATCAGTCTCTTTCTTCAGAATCACCTCTTCTATCATGAGTTACTCCCTCTCCTTGCTTCTCTTTTAATCAGTCTGTCCCAGATGGAAGCTCATCAGCATTGCGCTCCTCCTTCATATATGCTCTCTGAGAGAAAGCTTGCCCCCCTCGCAGATCCTGCTGCTGCTGCTGGAGCTGTTACCAGGGATGGGAGTGAAGGTGAGCGCTGACAAGAGGTCTTTATCTGGGTCCCAGAGGGAGGCAGTTTAAGTTAAAGGTGAAGGTTTGACATGGCGTCTCGTCTGCTTGCACTGGCTGCTCCTTCCCTTCTATTCCACCTCCTGATGTGAGGCTCAGGCTTGGTCCCCACTTCCCATGTCCTTGGGCTCATTCTTGACGGCTCCCACTGCTCCGGCTTTAATGAGAAAGATGAAAGAGGTGCAGGCTGGAAGAATACCCTCCTCCTCCCCTTCTACAACCCCATTCACTTTCCTCCTTGTCCTGTTTGTTCAGCCCAGCCTCGCTCTCGCTGGCCCTCCAGCACTAACTCATCTAAGAGTTTTTGTCGGGGTGTGGACAACTGGGTTGAGGGGGAAGTTCTACTGTAATAAATTGGAAGGGAGGCTGGTTTCCATTTGAAAGTTTTCAGGTATTATTCCATCTGATCTTATGTGCAAATTTCTTCCCATCCTTTATTTCTTTGTGTCCTGAAACTGTGGCTCCCCTGTACAGTAGATGTGTTTAAAGTAGTGACGGGCAACAGCGCCACCACTGGGACTCTCACGGGGTCTTCTTTCCCCACTAAATCTATCTAGTTTGGTCCTTTAAGTGTGGTTTTGCTTGGTAGTAAGTAAGAACCGCGGTAATCAACTCAAAATAAGTGAACTACATTATCAATTGCTTAATTCACAGATAATGTGCAACATGTAATCACAGCCCAGGTGTGCTTGCATGATATTTTCATGTCCATGTAGAAAAAAAGACTGCTTTTTGCTTTAACAAAATGAAATATGAATAAACTCAGTTCAATTTCCTTTGATATTACAGTATGTTGGACCCGTGACTACACTGAAAGTAACCTACAAAAGAAACTTATTTTTATAGTTGACTATTAGAAATATTTTTTACAAAGAAGGTAGATTAAAATTACAAGGGGTCTCCCAGATCTCAATCTAGACATAGTTGAGCCCTAAGCCCAGTCTTCCCACTAATGTGTGATATCTGTCTTGTTCAAACTACAGCTATAACTCCGACCCAATCACTAATTAGTCAAGCTCACTGAGTTAAACTGATGACTGACCTTGCTGGTAAGCAGACGATAACAAACTACCGTTCAACACATCAGCCAGTCCTCCAGCACCAGATGGCAGACTGCAATAACCTTCAGGAAATGTGCCCCAAAACTAACTCCCAGTAAAACCTGGAAAGACCTCAGATTAAAAGGTGTGACGATATGATGTTTGTCCAAAAATAAAGACAAAAAATGTTTTCACAGGATGAGCTCTACTCTGTCAGCAGGATGTGGTTGTTCTCTGTCAGATCTTATAATCTAGTGCTGCCACCTTGTGGCCACTTTGATAAATAACTAAATAACTTGGATAACTTCAAAATTGATTTTTGCAAGTTGAAAACATGTTAGGACAGGACCTGTCTATGGCTAGTAACAGAAGCAATGATTATAGCAAGCATGTATATGCAACCCCGACTACTGTTTCATGATTGTGTAACACCACACAACAATAGGTTAGGATGAGATTACAGCTAACAAGGTATAAACTGGTGAGGCCTCAAAGACATGACAACATTTTTCTCATCCCACAGTGGAGAAACTAAGCAGTGCATTGGCCAACCAGGCTCCTTAGAAATACTGGAACATCTGCTATTTGACATTATAACCACTAACATAAAGTAAAAGTTGTTAAAAGATGGGAGCCGACAGAAAGCTGATGTTTTCTCGCACACTAATATGACCATGAATACAGGTGAAGTTGATATGCGCTCCAAAGAAACATTATAGTATATATACATATACATTAGAAGATCTTATAACACTGAATACTGAATGCTCACCATGTTGTAGTAAGAGAACGATCTATCGAATGAAGAGAGAAAACAAATACAACTGAGATTTTGGAGTACTTTACTGGGCCCTTTTATAAGGCTGAAGTTCATAACAGCTACTGAGTAACAAATGTTCCTAAAGAAATATGAAGCAAATCATATATCTTTACTCAATAACATTTCCTCAGAGTTGCACAATTATGACAGAAAATCCTACTGAGACCACCTTCCAGTGTTACTTAATGCAAGACGTGCCACAACTTTCTTTTTTGACCAGTCATTGTGATAGTGTCTATGACCTACACGTACAGTATGTTGCTTTGACCATCGCACAAATGTAAAATCAAAAGGATAATGGTTAAAGTAGAAGTGCACAAAAATGGTTAATACATCAATTCTGTACTTTTCTGTCCCATGAAAATCAGGATTTTGGTTGATTCCACCCTGTTAATTATAAGGTCTTGGTCTTGTCCTGATTGTTCATGTATTTCTGGTAAACCACTCTCAGAGTAGTGAAGAAGTTTCCCAAGAAGAGCACCATGTAAGAGCAGCCACACATCAGAACCTAGACCGCAGCAAAAGAAAACATAACTGCCATGTATACTCTTCATGTGTACATGTACAGACAGGTAACAAATGAAAAACCTGAATAAATGAGTGATCTCTTCCAGGGTGACAATCCCCCCAATCCACAGGGCATGAGGGGTCAGTGAATGGTTTGATGATACATGAAAATCATATACCTATCCTACTATTAGGTCAAAAAAATTACATGACTTTTTCTCCCAATTTGCAGAGAGTTGAGAAAGAAAGCTGAGCTACTTTGGCTACTAGCCAGTTCTTGTGTTTGCACTGTACAGATGATCACTGGATTAGATAAAAAAAAAAGTCTGAACCTGGTCATTATGAATGTGTGCATTTAAAAATAGACACATTTTTGAAAGAGCAATTTCATAAGTTAATGGTGAAGGAACACTGAAGCTGTCTAGTGTCATGCCTAAGTGTCCCTGAGCAAGACACTGAACCCCGAATTGCTCCCGGTGGCTTGATTAGCGCCGTTGTGTGGCAGCTGTCGTCATCGGTGTGTGAATGTTCTGTGTGAATGGGTGAATGGTGTATCATCTCTGTAAAGCGCTTTGGCCAGTGTAACACACTGTGGAAATGCGCTATATAAATACAGTCCTTTTACCATTTAGTGAACAAACCTGCCACTCTGTACACTCTGGGAGCTGGAACATCTTGAAGAGTGTTATGCTGTTGTACAGCTGCCAGGACTGCAAGATGACGAACAGTCAACAGTCAAGAATGCTCAAAAAAATCCAACTCAGTATAGGCAATAATATGTTTCCATATGTTTTAAAAATGTTAATAAGCCCTACATGTCAGTAAACAGTGAGCACTAGTAAGAAGCAGGCTACTCACTTGACCAAAGAACAAGAAAGGAAGGAGGAATGTCAAGCCTCTCCACATCCAGGACTGGAAACCTTCTGAACACCAGGAGAAGAGAGAAACACTAAACTGAGATTATCTTAATCTGTCATCAACAGTATCAGTTCCTCCTGCGTTGCTACATTGCATACAAGAAGAATGCAAAGACATAAGACAAGAGCTGAACATGGCCCATATGTAATATTGATATTTTGACAAATTAAAATACAATAAAAGCTCAGCTATACCGGCTGTTATTACTATTAGTCACTCACCAACTGTGAGATCCATGTTGTGTCTTTCCCCCAGCGTTCTGAGTCTGTACAAACAGCCACTCTGGTAGTAGTACTGGAGAAACTGGACAAAGCCTACTTTGCAAACAGAACAGGAAAAGAAGTACACCCATGTTTTCACTGTTGACCAAGACAAAGATTATACACTTGTGTGCATCTGACTCAGGGAAAGGACTGTTTATGTTGAAGCCTCTTGACGGTTTACACTTGATATCTGTACAGATTAGTTTTAAACAAGTTTTAAGTAGGTTATGCAATCACATTCAGAATGTGCTAAAATAAGTAAATACTGTATATTTAAAGAATATCAGTTTTCATTTTGTTTCCATTAACTGTATTTATCAAGAAAAAAATGATGATGATCAAATGTTTAAGAAGAAAAATATTCCTGTTACACAAAATAATGCTTTTCTTTCAATAGTGTTGCTTTTATCAATCAAATGAAGTAATCACCAGTCAATCACTACAAATCCCCTCTACTTCTGGAGTGACTGAGCACAAAATTACAGTTGGAGATTTATCATATAATACTGACTTAAATCTTTATTTGAGTTGCTCATGTTATTGTCACTTTCTGTGATGACAGTTCATAAGGAGTGTTGCAAGTCAAGAACACTAGCTATGTCGATTAGTACATAATGCAATCACATAGTGTGGAATTCGGACACATCCTTAAACTCTTACTCTGGTATAGACAGTATGTTAGGAACTGGTTCCTAAACATCTGGTAGAGGACTCCTTCAGGCCTGTGAACACACACCACATCTGGTTAGAATGGAACTTCAATAACATTCAAGTGGACAAAAGGGAAAAATTGAAGAACTACATTTGAAGTTAAAGTCAGAGAAACTAAATCTACATGACACCGGAATATTTTATGTAAAAAAAACAAACAAACAAAATAACCATGTCCAGCAATTTGTGCACACATATTTAACAAACATATATTAAATAATTTCATAGATACTTTTAAATATTTAGATGCCCAAGGAGCTTTTCAAAAGCAAATGTTATCAGAGCTATGAACTTGTCTGTCTGGTATTTGTGGATTGGACAATGCATTTGTGAGCGCCATAAACGACCCACATCACACATATTTATTTTAATTCTAGATTATGTAACATGCATTTGTCACTGTTAGTGAGAGCATTTTCTCACCACGGTTTGTCCTTTGTGAAAGCCCATAGCCTTTATATGCATGGAGCTGTATGCATGGCGCAGTGTGCAAGATTCCTGGTTTTCTTTTCAAGTCACGAGTTTTACATCCTGTGAAACTTCCACTAAGACTATATGGTCCTCTTTTAATTATGACCTGGTTAAGTTTTCAACCCCAACCAGTATTCTGTAAAGTTATTGTGAAAGTGTAAAACTATTCTCCTAAAGAAAAGTGATTAAAATTACTCACCAAGTAAGCATGACTCCAGACAGGAAAGTTGACACGTAGTGATGGAAAACCCACCAACCTTTGATCCTGAAACAACATGGAGGACTGACAATGAAGGTACAGGACTATATGTAATACTGCTGCACAGGATAACAAAGGTTGTGCTATGGTTGGTGCTTGAATTCATTCAGGGCAGAAACACGTCTTTCACTCTCCTCACTTCATTTAAAGGTTTTCAGACTAGGTCTGTGTAACATCAAACAAATAAAATTGCAGAACATTATAAGAACGTTCATATGCAGCGTTCCTCACATATACTGATCTCAAAATTATGAAGGAAATTATGGGGAGGACTCTACTCATTAGTTATTGTAATTAAAGAAGGGGCCAAGAAGAAGATTTCAACAATGTGTTTTTGGCTTAGGGTTCAAAGTGGCTCCCTACATTACAAGGCTTTATAGGACTTGTTTATCAATTATCATTCTAACAGAAATAGCTGAGACAATGAATTAGTCACAGACCTTGAACCGTTGCTGATGAGGATACTCTCCCTGATAGTGAGTGTACAGTAGTACCACACCAACAGGAAGTTGAAAAGGGCATCCAGGGCTCTGAAACCCCCCACCCCATCCCACACCCCCCAAAAAAACAACAAAATTCAATCATATAATGAAGATAATTCAACATACTCATTCATTCTTCCACACTGTCAAACTACTCAGGCTGTGCAGCCACATGTCTTGTTCGTAACCAAATTTAAGGTTTCATTGTCAAAATGTTTAGTTTTTGTAATGTAAGAGTATTATTTTTCAATGTAATACAGGACGCTGATGATTTACACGTCATTATTTTCTATTTAAATGTTGATTTTACATGCTGTCCCAGCTTTTTCTGATTTGAGGCTGTAAATAACTTCTGCAAACACAAACAAAGTTTGGGGAAATTGTACCTGTAGCTCAACACAAAGCGACATGTGAAGGAGAACACCAAAAGGATGACCGTGAGGACCAGCTTAAATTTCTCATATTCATCTTTGTAGGCAAATCTGTCCAGTAAAAAAAAATGATATTAATGTGATGCTAAAATGACTGTACTTTTAAGGATATTTCTGAATTGTAGTGAACGCTGATGTGACTTACTTTGCCTGTTTGTTGAGGAGTGTTACATTGACATTTCCTAAAACAAGACTGAGGTATAGCCTAAACAGAAAGAGGAGTCAGTCCTTCATAGTTCTAACATCTTAAACAATATAATTATTTTGTTGTTTCTTATACACACACATACTAACTGTTATAGCACATTTAATATGCCAGTAGAACTACTATGTGCATGTTCACATTTTCCAGTTTATTATGAAACTGCCTTTTGTCTTTCAAAGACACATAACAACTCAAATGACAGAATCAAACCCGTTCTTCTTTGGCAGAAAAGCTTCCATCTCAAAAAAAGCATCTGTTCTGTCTTTGATGGACTCTTCAATTTCAGCAATGGCATCCAATTGCTCTGGACTTAACTTGGATGTCGAATGGCTTGCTTTGCATCTAATCATGGGAAAACATTGTCACATGTTTATAACACAGAAAACTTTAGAGCCAAAATTCAGAATTCAGATGTGTTGGAGAATCAGAGTACCATGAATTAATTGTAGGTTGTAGCCAAAACTGGTAGTAAGTAACCTATTAAACTGTATTCTACTGAGTTGCACAAATACTTCCAGCATATCATCAACAAAACCCTGATCAATACATACTCTTCTAGTGATGCACCGAGCTCTTTCAGTTTCTTCTTCTGACGTGCGATAGCAGCAGAGAAGCTGTCTTGCAGTTTGGTCACTTCCTCGAGTTTCTGTTTATATAAACGGTGGGTGTCCTGGGGGTGAAAAAAAAAATTTGTTGAAAGGAGAATGCGTAATGTTTTTATTTGTTGTTTTGTAATTGTGTTTTTAATGATGATAACCTTCCTTTTTGGTCCCCACACGTGTTAATCATGGGTCTATGTGAAGTGTGATTGTTTTGGTAGATTTAGACTAAAGTTTGTTGTTTTCCACCAAGTATGTGACCTCTGATAGTGTTTCCTAGACTGTTTGCTGTGTGGTAATCATGTTTCAACATCCACAGTGAGTGATGTGTTAAGTTTAAAGAGCTCTGGCACATTAAATCAAGTGCTTTCTATTCAAAATTCAACTGTCCGAGCAGTAAATTGTGTTCTGGAAACAGTGGTGAATATAACCACTTTAGATACTTTTACTCTGGTACCACGCCTTAATACAATATTGATACACTTTCAGATGTGTATTTTAGCTGATACTGAACTGATTAAGTGGGTCAGGTAAACACATACAGATTAAATACAATTTTTGGTCACAATTATTACTCGTTAAAATGAATTCAGACACAGTTGGCCTCCAATTCAGAGTGTTTAACTCCTTGCCCTTATGTTACCTTATTTAAAAAATTCAATAAGATACACTAAGTCTAAATCTGGGAAAAACAGAACTCCTACTGGTACTCTGTACCAGCAGATACTCTGAATTTGGGTGTCTCATCTGGTATCGGGAGAGAAAAAGTTACTTGGATCAGATTCATCTCTACCACATCTGGAAAAAACAAACAAATAAAAACTCTACTTTCTCTAGTGCATCTAAATGACAGCAATAAATACTAGTTTCTTTTAAGATTAAGATTTTGCACCAAAACATACAGTATGATAAACTTCTAAATAGAAATTTGGTTACTTCAACCAGCTACTAGCATTTTCACTATTGTGGCAACCTTATATAAACTAGTACAGACGGGTGACTAATAAAGAGAAAAAACAACATAAAGTGTCTTTATCAGGTGTTGGACCACCACATGCCACCAGAACAGCTTCAGTGCCCCTTGGCATTGATTCTACAAATCTCTAAACTGTACTGGAGCGATGGATACCAAACTTATGAAAGCTATTGTGGACATGTTGTCTGACACGTCGGTCCAAAATCTCCCATAGGTGTTCAGCTGGGTTAAGATCTGATGACTGTGAAGGCCATAACATATGATTTACATCATCTTCATACCCATCAAACCATTCAGTGAGCCTGGATGGGGTCACGGTCATACTGAAAGAGATCACTGCCATTAGGATAGAAGTGTGTCATCATATGGTAAAGGGGATCACAAGGGTCATGTTTTCTCCTCAAACTGTCTCGTACTGTGACAATGTGAGCGGTAGATTTGTACACTGTAACCTACTACGACTTTGTACTTCGTCTTTTGTTTATTTCTTGGCTATCACAGTACAATATTTACTGAGAACAGATCCCACTATCGCCTGACTGTGTGCCGTCGCACTCCATCTGTTAGCTTAACGTTACCCGGACAGTGTAGACGGTCGGCCATAGATATTAACATTATTTGGTTTACCTGAATTTGTTGGTAGTCCTTTTCTAAATCCTCCCATTCGCCCAAGCATTCACCTAAACCCTTTGGAACGAACAACATCTTCTACTTTGACATCAGAAAACCTCCTAGATTTGGGTAACATTCAAGATCCGGTGTGCAACAGTTGTAGCTAGCTCTGACAGCAGAGCTGAGTAAACAAAGTTTGACTTCCTCCGAGGCCCTTCATAATAAAAGCATCAATGACTACTTTTATTGGCCCGTTTTGGTATTATACGCCCGGTTGGCCCAATCAGACGTCTCCTTGATGATTTGTTCCTCCTCGTTTCAGCCAGTCAGCATCAGAACCTTTAGTAGCATTTTAAATAAGCTGTCCTCGTCAGTGTGTTAGGCAAGATTACTGCTGTTATAAGTTCCGTTTCATTTCAATTCCGAAATATGGTCCGGACAAAAGCCATAATACAACAAAAACATTAAATGACTTATGCTATTTGGTTCTTTATCTGCAAGAAAGGCACACTGTCCCCTTTAAGGTAAGTTTCGGGAAAATATATTACTGTTGTCTATATTGTTACAGCTCATAATTCATTTCACAGTAGAAACTGTCATGTCTAATATTACAAGCACACCCTTACCAAAAAGGTAGTATATGCAAGTATGCTTCAAGTATGCTCTAACAATGAGAGAGTATACTTTCAGTTTACTTTTTAAGTACTTATCAGAGATATACTTAACAAAGTTTAAGTTAACAATACTTGGATTCTACTAAAAATTATACTAAAAGTCTAAGTATATTGAGCCTATACTTATATTTAAACTTTTGACCATGATATACTTAAGTAGTAGTACATTAATAGTACATTTTCACACATACTGGTTTCTTTGTGGTATACTGCATGTTTTTAAAGATTGAGGATTGGTGTAGGTGAAACTGAACCACTGTCATATACACAATGACATTATTAACCCACAGGGAC